GTGGACCAGGGGCAGCAGGTACATGGTAGAGATAGCAGCATGGTGGATGATGGTACATGGTAGAGATAGCAGCATGGTGGATGATGGTACATGGTAGAGATAGCAGCATGGTGGATGATGGTACATGGTAGAGATAGCAGCATGGTGGATGATGGTACATGGTAGAGATAGCAGCATGGTGGATGATGGTACATGGTAGAGATAGCAGCATGGTGGATGATGGTACATGGTAGAGATAGCAGCATGGTGGATGATGGTACATGGTAGAGATAGCAGCATGGTGGATGATGGTACATGGTAGAGATAGCAGCATGGTGGATGATGGTACATGGTAGAGATAGCAGCATGGTGGATGATGGTACATGGTAGAGATAGCAGCATGGTGGATGATGGTACATGGTAGAGATAGCAGCATGGTGGATGATGGTACATGGTAGAGATAGCAGCATGGTGGATGATGGTACATGGTAGAGATAGCAGCATGGTGGATGACGGTACATGGTAGAGATAGCAGCATGGTGGATGATGGTACATGGTAGAGATAGCAGCATGGTGGATGATGGTACATGGTAGAGATAGCAGCATGGTGGATGACGGTACATGGTAGAGATAGCAGCATGGTGGATGATGGTACATGGTAGAGATAGCAGCATGGTGGATGACGGTATATGGTAGAGATAGCAGCATGGTGGATGATAGTACATGGTAGAGATAGCAGCATGGTGGATGATGGTACATGGTAGAGATAGCAGCATGGTGGATGACGGTATATGGTAGAGATAGCAGCATGGTGGATGATAGTACATGGTAGAGATAGCAGCATGGTGGATGATGGTACATGGTAGAGATAGCAGCATGGTGGATGATGGTACATGGTAGAGATAGCAGCATGGTGGATGACGGTACATGGTAGAGATAGCAGCATGGTGGATGATGGTACATGGTAGAGATAGCAGCATGGTGGATGACGGTACATGGTAGAGATAGCAGCATGGTGGATGACGGTACATGGTAGAGATAGCAGCATGGTGGATGACGGTATATGGTAGAGATAGCAGCATGGTGGATGATGGTACATGGTAGAGATAGCAGCATGGTGGATGATAGTACATGGTAGAGATAGCAGCATGGTGGATGATAGTACATGGTAGAGATAGCAGCATGGTGGATGATGGTACATGGTAAGAGATAGCAGCATGGTGGATGATGGTACATGGTAGAGATAGCAGCATGGTGGATGATGGTACATGGTAGAGATAGCAGCATGGTGGATGATGGTACATGGTAGAGATAGCAGCATGGTGGATGATGGTACATGGTAGAGATAGCAGCATGGTGGATGACGGTATATGGTAGAGATAGCAGCATGGTGGATGATAGTACATGGTAGAGATAGCAGCATGGTGGATGATGGTACATGGTAGAGATAGCAGCATGGTGGATGATGGTACATGGTAGAGATAGCAGCATGGTGGATGATGGTACATGGTAGAGATAGCAGCATGGTGGATGATGGTACATGGTAGAGATAGCAGCATGGTGGATGACGGTATATGGTAGAGATAGCAGCATGGTGGATGATAGTACATGGTAGAGATAGCAGCATGGTGGATGATGGTACATGGTAGAGATAGCAGCATGGTGGATGATGGTACATGGTAGAGATAGCAGCATGGTGGATGACGGTACATGGTAGAGATAGCAGCATGGTGGATGATGGTACATGGTAGAGATAGCAGCATGGTGGATGACGGTACATGGTAGAGATAGCAGCATGGTGGATGACGGTACATGGTAGAGATAGCAGCATGGTGGATGACGGTATATGGTAGAGATAGCAGCATGGTGGATGATGGTACATGGTAGAGATAGCAGCATGGTGGATGATAGTACATGGTAGAGATAGCAGCATGGTGGATGATAGTACATGGTAGAGATAGCAGCATGGTGGATGATGGTACATGGTAGAGATAGCAGCATGGTGGATGATGGTACATGGTAGAGATAGCAGCATGGTGGATGATGGTACATGGTAGAGATAGCAGCATGGTGGATGATGGTACATGGTAGAGATAGCAGCATGGTGGATGATGGTACATGGTAGAGATAGCAGCATGGTGGATGACGGTACATGGTAGAGATAGCAGCATGGTGGATGACGGTACATGGTAGAGATAGCAGCATGGTGGATGACGGTATATGGTAGAGATAGCAGCATGGTGGATGATGGTACATGGTAGAGATAGCAGCATGGTGGATGATAGTACATGGTAGAGATAGCAGCATGGTGGATGATAGTACATGGTAGAGATAGCAGCATGGTGGATGATGGTACATGGTAGAGATAGCAGCATGGTGGATGATGGTACATGGTAGAGATAGCAGCATGGTGGATGATGGTACATGGTAGAGATAGCAGCATGGTGGATGATGGTACATGGTAGAGATAGCAGCATGGTGGATGATGGTACATGGTAGAGATAGCAGCATGGTGGATGATGGTACATGGTAGAGATAGCAGCATGGTGGATGATGGTACATGGTAAGATAGCAGCATGGTGGATGATGGTACATGGTAGAGATAGCAGCATGGTGGATGATGGTACATGGTAGAGATAGCAGCATGGTGGATGATGGTACATGGTAGAGATAGCAGCATGGTGGATGATGGTACATGGTAGAGATAGCAGCATGGTGGATGATGGTACATGGTAGAGAGAACGCAGATATATAACTTATACACAGGTACACACAAGTACAGTTACCAAAAAAAGTCAAAGTGACTTATTTCCATGTATATACACCTGCCCAAGTGTGTATATACATACACAGCCATGTACATACATACACAGCCATGAACATCAAACTGGTATACAATACCGACAGGTTGTTAGGTAAGACACATATGCAACAGTTAGACAACTTTATTCCGAAACGTTTCGCCTACACAGTAGGCTTCTTCAGTCGAATACAGAAAGTAGGCAGGAACAGTAGAGATGTGAAGACGATGTAATCAGTCCATCACCAGGCCGAGGGACTGACAACCTCAAATTCTACGACTTTAAGGGTGATGGACTGATTACATCGTCTTCACATCTCTACTGTTCCTGCCTACTTTCTGTATTCGACTGAAGAAGCCTACTGTGTAGGCGAAACGTTTCGGAATAAAGTTGTCTAACTGTTGCATATGTGTCTACCTAACATACACAGGTCGTGTACCACTATATATTAGGATAACATACAGTCACTACACATGACTTAAAACTATTTCAAGACATAAAGAATAACTGATGGAAGTACTGTGGAAAAACATAACAAATTTGAAAGTAATCACCGTAAAACAATATATATAATATATATATATATATAATATATATATATATATATATATATAATATATATATATAATATATATATATATATATATATATATATATATATATTTTTTTTTTTTTTTCAACAAGTCGGTCGTCTCCCACCGAGGCAGGGTGACCCAAAAAAAAGAAAAGAAAATCCCCAAAAAGAAAATACTTTCATCATCATTCAACACTTTCACCACACTCACACATTATCACTGCTTTTGCAGAGGTGCTCAGAATACAACAGTTTAGAAGCATATATGTATAGAGATACACAACATATCCCTCCAAACTGCCAATATATATATATATATATATATATATATATATATATATATATATATATATATATATATAATATATATATATATATATCATATGAGAGAGAATGGTTAGATATATATGTTAGGGGATACATAGCGCAGCAGCGATAATATTGATAATAGAGCAACTGGTATCCTACACAGGGATACTCTCACACTTTAAATTTGAATTTATATCTACAAAAGGTAATATATATATATATATATATATATATATATATATATATATATATATATATATATATATATATATATATATATACATATATATATATATATATATATAATATATATATATATATATATATATATATATATATATATATATATATATAAATATATATATATGTATATATTATATGTATATATTGTTATTATTATAGTTTCGTTAGTGTGACTAATGGTATATGCAAATATTATAGCTTTTCTTGGTACTTATAAATTTAATTATTACTTTAAGGATGAAGATATTAACTTTTATGTATATGAAATGTGGCCATAACTGAGGATTTTATTTTTATTTTGAAAAAAAAATAGCATTTATGTGTGGGTAAAACATAATAATTGTGCACATTGAATAATAAATTTACTAAATGTGTTTGATGTTATTAAGACAATTTTTGAGAACTGTGAATACTCAAAATTCCAGTTAATATTAATGTTATATAGTAATTCATGTGTGATATATAAGTATATGAATGGTGTGCAGATATTTTAAATATAAACAGTAGCAAGAGTGTGTGTGAAAAGTTCATTGATATTGTGTGATGCTGTAGGCGTTATTATCTCTTAAATAATGATTATATATGTTGCTTATAATATATAGCCTTCCTCTCATCTAAGTTAACCTGCAACCTTGGCCAAATAAAAAGTCTGGTATGGTAGTTTAGCAGACTGTGTTTGTTGTAAATATCTTTGTAACAGAGCACATGTATTCAGTCTTTCATATTTGTGCTCAGTTTAAATGTCCACAAGCTGAGTCGCCCTTCAGGGATTCACCAGGATTTTACGCACACCATCCTTCAAGTGGCTCCTTACTAGATAATAACTCACATATACATACATCGTATATTATTTTACCTCTCTGCAATGTAATATTGAATCATGGGAAAAGCAGAAGCATTCAACAATTAAATATTGATGGGGCGTCGTTTGGCAGTGGAGCTCGTCAGGCATGCGTGCGCAGTGACGTCATTCACGAGGCGTGATATTATTGGTTAGTTTTCGTGACGTCACAAGTTAGACAGGCTATGATTAGGTAGCTTTTATGACGTCAGGAAGTAGGTAGACTGTGATTGGTTGCTTCAAACTGGCGCCGCGGAGTTGGTGGTCAGCTGAGTCTGTTCCTCACTCGTCTCCTGCAAAGTCTGTTTAACAGACCCTCACTTGTATTAAACACTCATGTGCCTCTCCTAGTGCAGTCTGGCTTCGTTGGGCCATTTTCTTAGCTAGCACTTTAGTCTATTCGCTTGTCCTGGAAGTGTATACTCTCCTGTGAACGTAAACCTACAAAAATTTCGTATAAATATGTCTTCAACGCAAATATACGAAGACCAGGAGAACAGAATACCGGCCCAACGAAGAGTGAAAGCAGAGGCAGAAACTAGAAGTAGCAGCTATGCACAAGCGGCCAGAAGACCAGTGCTTGGAGCCATCAATCCAAATTTGCGCAAACAGCCAACCAGAGCAGCAAAACAGGTGAACATTCTCTTATCTCACATCTTTGTTTACATGTCTTAATGGTTCATGTGTGTTTTCAGTGTATTGTAGGTGTTGCTGCAGAGGTTCCTGAGGTTTTTTGTGCTCCATGCACTCCATCGGTGGTAAATGTTGCATAAAATTGACTCACGATAGATATGCAACGGTTCATTCAAATTCTTGCAACTTAAAGCCTCTTGACTTTTAAACTTGTCTGGATTTTTACTTTGCAATTTTGTCGGTATATTTTCATTAGTTAAAACTAATTCTGACTAGGAGAGGGTTGAGTAATATTAAAGGCTCATACATTATTATTATAATCAAAGAGAAGCGCTAAGCCACAAGGGCTATACAGCAAAGGCTCATACAGCGCCTGGAGAATGGAAGACCATCAGGTTCGATCCAAGGAAAGGGAGAAAAAGACCAGTTCCTTTTTGCATTAAGCCCTTCAACATAGTGGACTGGATATCAAAATATTACACCTTCATTACTAGTAATCTATTGCAAGAGGCTAAATATAAGGAGCACTGCAGTAGGCCTACCATACTCCCCTTTCATGACTCCAACCAGAATGCCTTCCATTCCTCAGGCCGTGTGGCTCGTGCAGGTTTAGCGCTTACCCTTGAATAAAATGACTGCAGTAGGCCTGTTGGCGCATGACGAGGGTTTAGGGCCTTCCATGCATATTAAATGGTTCACGCTAGGCAGGCCTGTCACTGTTTCCACCCGACAAGTAATGACAGGAGTATCAGTTCACTTGCGTAAAGTTTGGCACACGTACACATAAGTACCATTGTCTTAGTGTAAATTACATATGATAACCAAGTTAGTGACTTGGTTACCATTGGGGTCTTGCACCTCTATTAGAAGGTGTCCACATTTAGAAATTTGTCAACCATGCCTCGTTGTACAAGAGTATCTAATACTATGTAAGCATCTTTTGTATATTTACTTAATCCCTTTCCCCCCCCCCCCCACCTTTTTTTTTTTTTTTTTTTTTAAATTCTCCAGTATTTGGTGCATTGTGCAATGGAGATTTGTATTTAGTGTCCATGGAAAAAGACCTTTTGTTGATTATAATCTAAGACTTCCCTGGCCGGTCTAGGTTAGGTTAGGATTGATTGGGTTATTAAATTTACTTAGCAAAGTTGCTTTTCTGCTTGTTCAAAAATAGGTTTCCATTGGAAAAACTTAAATAAAAATGCATAATCTTATTTTGCCTATTATAAAAGTTGCTTTATGACCCTTATGGGTTTATTGATTAGTTATAATAAAAATCGCAACCTTTTTCGTGGAAAGGATAGCTTGATGTTGCTAATTAGTTAATGTAAAACTGCATATTTCTATCCATGGGAGAGCAAGTCTCTGCCCACGGAGAATGTCCTGTGTATATACACATGTAAATAGGTTTGAATCTGTTTTATATATACAGCAATGCATAGCATAACGTATACAGTACTTTTAAATGATTCCCAGAACAATGGTGGTTCGAACCCTATGGTAAGTCGATCCTGAAACCAGTAAGTCGGTGTTGGTTTGATAAGCTGGAAAAGGAAGGTTGATGCAATATCTCCCAGACCTCTTAATTTTACCAATAATTAGTGTCTTGAGTTGCACGTGTTCATTTACCAGTCTGTAGTCTAACTTCGTTTTTTTTTTTTTTTTTGGCACTTAAACTGTTCAGCTTGTCATTTAGATACCATTTTCTGTTCAGGCTTAGTGTCTTAAATGGCCTAGCAGAAGAGGTTATCTAAATCTTTATTTTTTTCACCTTTAAATGATTTTACAGATTACTACTACCTGTAAAGCTTCTGCACTCCTGCTCCTAAGAATGCCTCTCCTCATGCATTATCTTGTTTGTATTGGCTAAACAAAATTTAGGCAAATGGCACAGCTGCTGGTGTGAAACGTACCTACAGTAAATGTCTTAATTTGACGTCTTTACTTAAAATTTTCTCCAGAGTATTATAATCGAGGGAGAAGCGCTACACCCGTAGAATTATACAGGACCTTTGGGGGGGGGGGATGTGGAAGGTATTCAGGCTCTGTTCGGGGAACTGGAGCACAGATCCAATTCCGTAGATCAAGAGCCCCTCACCAGCGTCAAGGAACCTTCCTTGAGGGGCTCCAAAGTATTTATAGCCATTCTGGACTAATAGCCATTTTAGGGACTGCTTTTTATGTAAATTCTCGAATATTAAGTGGGGGGGGGGGGGATGTCGTGTAGCAAGCAGTTGCAATGGACCGATGTGACAAAAAATCTTATAACCAACCCTAACCTAGATAATGCCTAATCTGGGTTAATCTCTAGTGTTTTACAAACGAAATACCCTAATTATAGCTACTCATTGCACAATCTGCTTGATACTCCATGGGATTCCCACAACTATAAGCTCAAAAAAGCTCCGGCACTAGATAATTACTCCACTTTGTAGTATGGAGACGAGGAGTGGCAGAAAGTGAAGAGTTAATGTGTGGAGATGTAGACTAGCTTTTGGACTCCCGTTACTTGTCTTAATTTATAAGTGGTAGAACAGTGTAAACAGGAATGGATTGTGACGTAGAAAGCAGATGTTCACTACTGTCCGTCTTCCATACACTGTCACAGTGTGACTGTGTATCCCAAAAGCACCTAACCTGCTTAAGGTATGGTCTGGGATAAGGGTGATGACCCCTCCTCCATCTACTTGTGACCGCTTGTTTTAGTTTCCGAAACATGGTATAAGGAGTGTGTACTCACCTATTTGTGGTCGCAGGGGTAGAGTCCTAGCTCCTGGCCCCGCCTGGTCACCGGTTGCTACTGGGTCCTCTCCCCACTCCATGAGCTTTATCATACCTCGTCTTAAAACTATGTATGGTTCCTGCCTCCACTACATCACTTTCTAGGCTATTCCACTGCCTGACAACACTGAAGAAATACTTCCTAATATCTCTGGCTCATCTGTGTCTTCAACTTCCAATTGTGACCTCTTGTTCCTGTGAGTGTGTGTGAGTGTGTGTGTGTGTGTGTGTGAGTGTGTGTGAGTGAGTGTGAGTGAGTGTGAGTGAGTGTGAGTGTGTGTGTGAGTGTGTGTGTGAGTGTGTGTGTGTGTGGTGTGTGTGTGTGTTGTGTGTGTGTGTGTGTGTGTGTGTGAGTGTGTGTGAGTGTGTGTGAGTGTGTGTGAGTGTGTGTGAGTGTGTGTGAGTGTGTGTGAGTGGTGTGATGTTGTGAGTGTGTGTGAGTGTGTGTGAGTGTGTGTGAGTGTGTGTGAGTGTGTGTGAGTGTGTGTGAGTGTGTGTGAGTGTGTGTGAGTGTGTGTGGTGGTGTGTGTGTGTGAGTGTGTGTGAGTGTGTGTGAGTGTGTGTGAGTGGAGTGTGAGTGAGTGTGAGTGAGTGTGTAGTGAGTGTGAGTGAGTGTGAGTGAGTGTGAGTGAGTGTGAGTGAGTGGTTGATGTTGAGTGTGAGTGAGTGTGAGTGAGTGTGAGTGATGTGTGTAGTGAGTGTGAGTGGTGTGATGTGAGTGTGGAGTGTGTGTGAGTGAGTGTGAGTGGTGTGAGTGAGTGTGAGTGTGTGAGTGTGTGTGTGTGTGTGTGTGTGTGTGTGTGTACTCGCCTATTTTGTGGTTGCAGGGTCGAGTCCAGCTCCTGGCCCCGCCTTTGCTGATTGTACAGGTCCTCTCCTCCCTGCCCATGAGCTCTATCATACATTGCCTTAAAACTATGTATGGTTCCCGCCTCCACTACGTCACTTTCTAGGCTATTCTACGGCCTGACCACTCGGACTGAAGAAATACTTCCTAACATCCCTTTGATTCATCTGAGTCTTCAACTTCCAATTGTGACCTCTTGTCTGTGTCCCTTCTCTGGAACATCCTGTCTTTGTCCACCTTGTCTATTCCGCGCAGTATTTTATATGTCGTTATCATGGTCTCCCTGACCCTCCTGTCTTCCAGTGTCGTCAGGCCGATTTCCCTCAACCTTTCTTCATAGGACAATCCCCGTAGCTCTGGGACAAGTCTTGTTGCAAACCTTTGCACGTTCTCTAATTTCTTGACGTGCTTGACTAGGTGTGGGTTCCAAACTGGTGCTGCATACTCCAGTATGGGCCTGACGTAAATGGTATACAGAGTCTTAAACGAATCCTTACCGAGGTATCGGAACGCTATCCGTAGGTTTGCCAGGTGCCTGTATGCTGCAGCAGTTATCTGATTGATGTGCGTCTCAGGAGATGTGCTCAGTGTTATACTCGCCCCCAGATCTTTTTCCTTGAGTGAGGTTTGCAGTCTTTGGCCATCTAAACTATATTGTCTGCGGTCTTCTTTGCCCTTCCCCAATCTTCATGACTTTGCATTTGGCAGGGTTAAATTCAAGGAGCCAGTTGCTGGACCAGGCTTGTAGCCTGTCCAGGTCTCTTTGTAGTCCTGCCTGATCCTCATCCGATTTGATTCTTCTCATTAACTTCGCATCATCTGCAAACAAGGACACTTCTGAGTCTATCCCTTCCGTTATGTCGTTCACATATACCAAGAACAGCACAGGTCCTAGGACTGACCCCTGTGGAACCCCGCTTGTCACAGGCGCCCACTCTGACACCTCGTCGCGTACCATGACTTGTTGCCTCCCTGTCAGGTATTCTCTGATCCATTGCAGTGCCTTTCCTGTTATGTGTGCCTGATCCTCTAGCTTTTGCAGTAACCTCTTGTGAGGAACTGTCGAAGGCCTTCTTGCAGTCCAAAAATATGCAGTCGATCCACCCCTCTCTCTCTTGTCTTCTGTCACCTTGTCATAAAACTCTAGTAGGTTTGTGACACAGGATTGTGTGATTTTGTGTGATTTTGTGTGATTTTGTGTGATTTTGTGTGATTTTGTGTGATTTTGTGTGTGTGTTTGTTTTTACCTTCATGGTAGATCTCTAAGTAGTTCTCAGTGGAACGGAATCAGCAAGACATCCCATTGGGGCAAGTGTTCCACAAGGAAGCGTGCTGGGACCATTGTTATGGAATGTCTACTTCAACGACCTTC